TTGTTGAGGAATGATTTAAGCCATCCTAGTAGTGGATCACGTACTTCTGAAGAGTTCAGCTTATGTTTCAGCGATGGATGGTCGACGCGGTCAAATTCCTCGGAAATGCTGAAGTAGATGATAAGAATCATTTGTTATCTGTCACGAGAGTGGATCCAAAAATTGAACAAGTCTAGGTGGAAGGTTGAATATGATCTGGATTTTCGCAACTTACAATAGTGAAGATAAGCATTTTGAGTAGGTTCCCTTAGAATAGTTCGTCCCTAATACTAGATGTCACTGTAGTTGAAGATTGAACGATCAATTCATGGTTGTTTGCTCAAAACCAACTTCCCCAATTTTCGCGGAGGCATCAATACGACAGTCATCGTCTCATCGGTCGCTGTTCAGAAAGAAGTCAGGAGACAACCGTCAGAAGTAATATTGTGATTTATTATTGTAATATTTGTTCACAGACCTTAGTCATACATTATTTATATGTTGGTGTAACAATAAAGAATCCTCGAGTCAACAATTGGTGCTTTTGTTTTTTCGTCCGTTATTACTAAGCGTTTCTGAGAAACTTCAAGGGACAGCGTGAGCCCGAGCGTAGCAAGAGCTGGGCATTGACGGTTTACGAGACGTGACTGACAGTTTCTGATGGTAGAAACAGATTCTGGCGGATTCAGACAGTTGGTGAAAGTTCGGATAGTCGCCGTTCATCTTTCCTGGTGCCGGTCAAGTCCTCTTTGAACAAGCAATATCTGAAACGTTTTTTGGAATTGGGTCAAGTTCAACAATGCCTGGGTCAAAGAAGGGACAGAGTGTCTTGGATGCAAACAGGAAAGTAAGTCATGGTGACTTGTCTGTTAATTGTAACGATGTGTCTGATGTTAAGCATGACATGGTTGATGTTACTGTTTCGCCGTTCAGGGATAATAGGAACATCAAACTCCCTAAATTTGAACCACGGTGTTTCGATGGAAACCCGGCTGATTATTTACAATTTGTAAAGGAGTTTGTTATCATGCTGAGTAGTTTTTTATCAAGTGATGAATTGAAGTTGATGTATTTGATGAGATATTGCACTGGAGATGCTTCAAGAGCTATACAGTGCTGTAAGTTTATGAAGCCAAAAGAGGGCTACGCTGAGGCTATGAGCATATTACGTCAAAGGTTTGGAAGACCTTCAATGATTGTAAGGAACGTATACGAAGCTGTCAAAGGTAACGGCAGTCAACTTCAAGATGACTCCAAGGCACTTACTGAGTTTTTAGATAATCTTATGACTTATAAGAATACCTTGATTTCTATGAATTGCATGAATGACCTCAACTCGAGTTTTATACTAGAAGTAATAGCGAGACGCCTACCTACTCGACTGCAAAGGAAGTGGGTGAAGATAAGCTCCCGTATGGAGGATGAGGGTATCGAGCCAAAATTTGATGATATCCTGAAACTAGTAAAGGATAGTGTCAATGAATCTATGAGCAAGTTTGCCAGTATATTGAATCTCACCCCTAGAATAGAGCAGTCTGAGGGAAAAACGCAATCATTGATGACGAATAAGCCTCAAAGAGGTGGATATCGAGAAGGCTCCATGATGTCTAGTAATGCATATAGACCTAGTGAGTGTAACAGGTTTCGTAGTACATCGTCAACAGATTTTTTGTGGCGGTACGTTCGAAATTGGTGACATTTTCACACGAGTGGGGATATAGGCCGACACCAGGTGTTATCGCGCAATGCCATCGGTTACCGCGCTCACGTCAACAGACGTTATAATCACCTATTTTTTTGGAAATAGATTATATTTGACTAGTTTTAGACTTCTGTAGCCGGATGGCAGTATTTTGCTGCATTTTGTTCTTAGTAGAGCGTAAAATTGTATATTATAGCTCGGACGAATTATCAATGAAGAAGTAATCCTTTTTAAGAGAGTTCGCATAGAAAGACTATTATTTGCATTATAGTGCGTTGAGGGTTTTTTTGCGAGCTGTTTCAGAATTAAGGTTGTAAATATACTGCAGGCAATGGCTGTTGTCATTCCAGTGAATCTATGAGAATCTGGCCTATGAAAGAGAAATAGCATGCAGACATAGGTTAGATGTGTGCTTTGAACATGTTAAACTTTTCTGTTATCATCCGGGATGACAATGGATAACTCATAAAACATCGACGACATTATGCGATGAATGAGATAGGCTGCTGAATTTCCTGGTGATTATATCTATTTTGATGAAGTTCCTAGTTAAAAGTGCTTGGGCGAAGATGTAAAAATAGTTTAATTGACATTTGCACATGGAATTTCACAAGGCCTTAATTGCTCAGTGCATGAAATGGCATCAGAGTATATTGACATCAGTGTTCATTGTGTCTGGAAGAATAGTATAAATAGTCCTTCTCAAATATCAGAGTACTTAAAATTAGTACCAGATTTCTGTTGATTAGTAGCTAGCGGCTGTGTCATACAACTACTACACCTGTTACATAGGTTATATCAATCTTAAAAATTATTTTGCTTCACATCACTAAGATAATCTGAGATCCTTAATGACTTAATTGTGGCTATGAAAGATGTAGAAGATGCACTTATGGCTGATATATTTAAAGCAGTTATTATTAAACAAGTTATCTGTAAGCAACTTGTGATGTTGTGAATACTGCAAACTGTTGATAAGAAACTGCATCAAAGGAAAAAATGCTGAACAGCTAGAAAATACTACTGCAGTTTCGTTGGTTCTTACCTTTTGCATTTGTAAGTCATCCTTTCAAAGCTGCGATTGACGCCAAACCATCCATGGTACCCCACAGGCCCTATAGAAATTTGTGAGAGATCTTACATGTCAGGTTGTCTTCCAAATTGTAAGGTTGCAGATCTTTCAATTTACCTCTCACTGAAATATCACTTATCTACTTCACTATGGTCTTTTCATTTGTGCACTATTACACTTCATTTTATGTTAACTGGATATGCCTTTATTAAAGCTGAAACTTACTCTTTGTGCCTATTAGTTGCTTGCTTACAGTCTATTTGCTTTTATTAGAAACACAACAACACCAGTGTTTGAACAAAGCTGTATTTTCATGGAAAACGTCATATTTTCTATGTTTACACCAATATGGTTGGCATTAAACATTGCAAATGTGTACTCACATTCCAAGGACATAGCACTTAACCAAATGTACGGTGTTCATTGTTAAGGGTTTACAATTTAACTCTTATAATTTATGATACTTCACGATTGCAGTTTATAACATAACTTATTGCGCCTGTAGAAATGACATGCATTCTTTGTAAACATTGGTTTATACGAAATATGAAATTATTACTATATGCTTGCTGCTATCCTTTAGAAAAGGAATAATGTGTGTGGCAGTGAAAACCCCAGAAGAATGATGTCATTACCAAAGAATGAGAAAGGAGAATGAACCATTTTCAGCAAAGGTAGGCAAATCTGAAGTGTTTAACTCTGATATTACTGGTTTCTTACTTCAGTGATTTAAAAAACACTTTGTTTACTTATTTGTAGATATCCGGTAACGTCAGTCAACCCGGTCACAGCGATTCGACATTGCCCAAATTATTACGACAAACAACTGCGTAAAGACATTTGCTTGTTATTATTTTTCGTTAAATACATTTAACATCCTGCTTACCAGACCTTTCTTATTCTATCCGAGCGTAGATATATTTGTCATGATGACTAGATGCAGGCATGACTTATTAATGATACCTGACGAAGTAATTGGTGGCATAATTTAGTGTAAGGTAAATGTAACTACGAGTGCTAAAGCTGAACGAATTCAATAATTTGTCTCGTGTAGACTTCAATTTACGCTACATGTTAACAGCCTTAGTCATATGGATTGACATCACGCTTTAAGTGAAACATTAGTAATGCAATACTTTAGAATACACGTAACCGTTTAAGAACTGGAACTGGAATGCAGTGCCTAAGTTATGCCTACTATTGTCATTTGTCCCTAAAGACTTCTATATGACTATGAGACATAACCAGGTAACTTCACTAAAATAATTATAATTTAAAACGTATGACGACCGACATCGTTTCTACGCAATTACACTTACGTATAGTTAAAGTCCTAGAGAGCACCGGTCTAGCATGCCGTGCTCAAGAAGGGAACACATGAATTGAAAGACAATAAGATTGACATGAAAATTATACTTTAATTATGATACAAATTCAGTTTATTTACATATTCAGAGTACGATTGATTCCTGCGATTACTTCTATAGCATAATTCCTGGCAAACACATCTCCAAATTTGTCATTCATTTTCCTCAAGCCCTTAGCCACAATACTTATATAGGGTTCGATTTGGCCACTTTGATTTTGAGGGACAACAGCTGACGTGCATTGAGATGCGAACAAGTTGCGTGACCATGCCCATTGTTTGCAATTCTGCATCACATGGTTAACTACAAAAGGTGAAACAAAAAACGTAAAGGTAACTATGAACTGAATATTACACGTGCAATGATGGTAGTGCTTCTGTCTTGTTTCCAATTAAGGCAATGTACACACGAATAGGTTAATAAAAAGTACAACTTTCCGTATATAAGAACAATAATTAATCAAGTTTCGCACGACATACATTAAAAACGGAGTCATAATATACCTGTGAAATACGGCTTTCGGAAGTGGACCAAAAGCAAATGTCGGCAGGGGTACCGACAGGTCTGAAATGTAAAGCACGTGCAGGTGCAAGCACTCAGATCAACCTGCACTGTATTCCCATTTTCGTTGAAGAATACATAATCGAAGGATTCAACGTCAACAACAGCCCATCTTCGCCTTTGGTATTCACGGATAACCTTCCTCGCAGCGTAAGGCGTCAGCAATCGTATAATTGGGAGTAAACGTTGTGAACAGGGATACGTGAAGCATCGTGATTGAGCAATATTCGCTTCCTGCTGTATTCTTGAAAAAATTCGTTTATGCCATTTAAACACCTTTAGCATACTTTGATGCAGACTATCAGATCTTTGCAAATACCGTTTCATCTGCTTGTGGGAACTCTCGACTCGATTATTTGTATCGTTCCCAAAAGTCAGCACGTTATCTCTGAAACATGCTGCCCACAATTGTCGTCGATGCATCCAACGACGTTGTAGATATTGACTGACATTAGCATCCAATCTGCTAATAACTCTAAAGTAGAAATTAAATCTGCAAAATGAGAACAATAGAGGCATTACTCTGATCTCCTTTTACACTGCACTAGACGGCATAAATAATTCTTCACAATGGGATTTCTTGTCTACGAATAAAATGTAAAGTATGCTTTGAAAAACTTACTTTCCGACAGAAAGCTCGGCAAACATGGAAAGAACACAAAACAATGTGCGCTTGTCTGTGCGTTAACTTGACGGCTGCTATTTCAGCTTGCGCACAATCCATAATGAAGGATTCTGTTTTCGAGGTATCTTCCATTATTTGCCGGAAACAGTCTAATATCCAAACTACATCTCGTTTGAATTCTTTTCTAGTCCACGCAAATAAAACTGGTCGTCCACGACCAAAATTATCCGTCACAAGTAATTGGAACAAAGAATACCTGCACGTTGGTTAATGATTTGGTAAACTTACTTCCCCTTATTTGTATTATACGTCGAGTCGATACCAACAACTTCAGGGAACTGTTTATACAATTCCATTTGCTCATAAGTTGCAAAACAAATTCTTGTTAGTGAATTCCTGAACGGTTCATCGGAGTAATACTCCATTAACTTCCCACGGGATTTTAGGAATTCAAAAATGTCACGACGACTCGAAATACCTTAAGTATGTAACAAGTACGTCAACGTTACCTTTATTCACTGCGGCTTTCATATTTTTAACGTCAATGCGAGTTATATCCTTGTTGTACTTCTCCTGAACATGCATTATTATTTCATCGGACGAGTGGGATTGCTGAAGAAGTGGTTCAATATTTTCTTTCTCTTCAACTGTTAGTCGTCTATACCATGGGTCATTCTGCATGTACACCCTGCTGCATGGATGGTTATGCACCATATTGTGGGAAGCAATTATGTATTCACTATAATGCAAAACCACGCGAAATGAAGACGAGCAATTGCAACATTTAGACCTGAAATATCCATGAAATCATATTACACTTCTTCTTACGACTTGTTTTTCAATTTCAATCCAGGTCTTGTACGATTCACTCCAAAAGTGCATTTAAAACCAACATAAGCGTACTTAAACCTGTCATCCCGTATCGTTTTGCTGAAATTATGAACATAGTGAGTGTAGGATAACTACACTGTTAGCATTAAATGACTTCCTCACTTTTTGAAATTCTGCTAATGACTTCTCAAATTCATCCCAGCTGAAGAAACGCCTTCCAAGTATGTATTCAGCAAAAATTCCACTTAAATCTGTGCTCCTGTCACTCGAATTGACTACCTGCAACGGACTAAAATACAATTAGCAATTAGGATCCATCTATGTCACAACTATTCCAAGATAAATCGTAAAAAAACAACATTGAAATACAGGGATGATCGATAACCATCAAGAAAATACCGCACGTATAACCTAAATTACAGAAAAACACAAGAACCCACCGGTTCGTTGACATCGCAAGCAACCAATAGACCAAACAACGAATTGTACGACAAGTAAAGCCTAGTACATGCACAAACAAAGAAAAACCAAGCGTCACAATAATCTAATACACGTTTATAGTAATCACATATGCTGGAAAACGACGCTAACACACGTGTTTTCTCTGAAATTTATTTACTGCTTATTGTCATATAATTCTTGGAATTATGGTCCAAATCTCTAAAAAACGTGTTCGTAGAAACACCCCAGTCGGTTACTTTTTAGTGGACCTGGGATATGTGGGTAAAAACGTGGGTAGTTTTCCGTTTAATTGTGGGCAAAGTGGGATAAGGTGGGCTGTTTTCGTTTCTAACATGGGCAAAGTGGGAATAAGTGGGCTGTTTTCTAAAATGACATGGGCAAACGGGGAAAAAGTGGGTATATTTTGAATTCCTGCACATGGGATAAATGGGTGAAAACGTGGGTTACGTGGGAAAACTGGGAAAAGGTGGGACAAACAAATTTTACCTGGACATGGGAAAACGGGGAAAAAGTGGGAAATGTGGCCAAAGTGGGTAAAATCGGTTGCATTTACACCATCTTTTGCCCACGTGTTTGCCGATCTAAATTACCCTTTTATCCCACGTTTGCCCATGTGCATTAACCGACTGGGACATTTGTTTTAGATAGTGGCTTAAATTCGGTTATAACTGCATTACCGCCTGGTAATACAGTATCAACTGCTAGCCCTCAAAATGGTTTGAGTGCAGATCTCACTCCTGTGATACAGGTGAAAGATGTTCTGTTAGAGAACTCTGAGTTCTGTAAACTAAACCTCCTTTTGAAAGATATGCAGAAGCAAGTAAGTGAAATTCAGAAAAAATTAGATCAGTTTGATAGTATGTCACTGCCAATCTCAAATACCACGGACAGCCGTTCTGAAATTGGCCAGGTTAAGTGTTTACTGGATGTAACTCATAATAAGCTTTTGAATTTAGACCCGATAGCCTGTCTGTTAAAACAACATCCTAAAATATCTTCAGACAACCTAAATAAAGCTGAAAATCTGATTGACTGCTTGGCTACGGAGGTGATGAAGCGTATAACCTCTTCTCACCAGGCTATAGTTTACAACGTCCCAGATTCTCTGCCCCTGAAATCTGTAAGACACAAAATCCTGATTTGTTGCGGCATGGCTAGTGTTCCATGTGAATGCAAACGACTTCGTAAAAAGTCTAACCAGGCTAACTGCCCCATCATTTTTCAATTCAGTAATTCCCTTGATGCTAGTAAGTTTACTAAATGTCAGGATCACTTAAGACTGAATAGCAGTTATAAGTCTATAACCGTAGCTCAGGATAAAACACCGTGTCAGCGCAGAATAATGCGTAGTAATAATCTGGTCACCTCCTCTAGCTTTGATTTACCAAATAAGGATCGTGCACAGCAACAGAGGCTTTGAAAATAGACCCAGAGACAACAGCGGACTTGATGACACCACTACTGGAGAAGGTGTGGAAAGAGGGCAAAGTACCCGAGGATTGGAAGAACAGTTACTTATTCAAACTTCCAAAGAAAGGAGACTTAAGTCAATGTAAAAACTGGCGGGGAATTATGCTTCTGTCCATTCCAAGCAAGATACTAAGTCGCATCATCCTGGAGAGAATCAAACAGGCCCTAGATGAAAAACTTCGTCCGGAACAGGCTGGATTCAGGAGAAACAAATCATGTATTGATCAAATCGCCACTCTACGGATCATCATTGAACAAAGCTTGGAATGGCAGTCACCTCTCTATCTCAACTTCATCGACTTTGAAAAGGCCTTCGACAGCGTCGATCGAGAGGTCATTTGGAAACTACTTCGCTACTACGGGGTCCCATCGACAATTATACACCTCATCCAACAGTTATACGACAATGCTGCATGCCAAGTAGTCCACAACGGGAAACTTACGGAAGCCTTCGAAGTGAGGACGGGAGTGAGGCAAGGCTGTCTATTATCACCAATGATCTTCCTGATTGCAATCGATTGGATAATGCGACAGACAACGTCAACCAACGAGGGAACAGGCATAAAATGGACTGACACAAAAGACTTGGAGGATCTGGATTTCGCCGATGATATATGTCTGATTTCCCATAAACTGGAAGATATGCAAATGAAAAGTAACAAATTGGCAGAAGAAGCATCAAAGATAGGACTTCACGTGAACATAGATAAAACAGAGATGATGAAGATTCCTTGCCAACATCAACAGCAACAACAGACCACAATAAGCATAAATGGGAAGAACCTGAAAGAAACAACCTCCTTCACCTACCTGGGAAGCATCGTCTCAACTACAGGCGGAACTGACGAGGACATCAAAGCCAGAATCGGAAAAGCAAGACAAGCTTTCATTACTCTCAAATCTGTGTGGAGGTCAACAGCATTCAGCATCAAAAATAAGATCCGGATTTTCAACTCCAATGTGAAGTCAGTGCTACTATACGGATCAGAGACTTGGCGCGTCATAAAGAGCATCTCAAACAAACTTCAAACCTTCATTAACAACTGTCTCCGCTCAATACTCAAGATCAGATGGCCAGAAAAGATCAGCAACAGGGATCTCTGGGAGCGAACCAATCAGGAACCGATTGTTAAACAAATAGGCAGAAAGAAATGGAGATGGATTGGCCATACGCTGAGGAAACCAACAAGTGACATCACTAGACAAGCCCTCGAGTGGAACCCGAAAGGGAGGCGGCGAGTTGGTCGTCCAAGGGTGACTTGGAGGAGGTCATGTGAAGAGGAGATGAAAGCATGTGGGCAGACCTGGAGCAGGGTGAAAAAGTTGTCAAAAAACCGAAGTCAATGGAGGTGCGCAGCTGAAGCCCTATGTTCCTCTAGGAACTAAAGGATACAATAATAATATAAATACAGCAACAGACACCTAGTGCTGAAACTAGCATTCAGCAAACTACACAATGTGGTGGACCTTTTCACTCTATTAGCTTAGTTACCCAAATTCAAGTAGAAAATAAAATACCAAATGAGTTTAGTTACGGGAAGAATGTATTAAAGTTTGATTACTTGAGTTTACAAAGATCCAACTTCCACAATAAACGTTATAGACTCCAGGTGCTGCGGAAAGACTGCTCCAGTAGTAATTCTCCAATGTTAACGTTGCCGGAGGTCGACCAAAGTACGTAGGAAGAAACTACGGTGCTCCTGCAAAAATCAGAGATAGAAAGCAGGTGATTAGGATTGATCGACGGCAGTTGAGATGGTGGAGAAGACGGAGAGTCGAAGGCACAGCTGTATATTTATTCAAAACCCGAGGTAAAGTCAAAGTACAGAGTTTCTGGTTAAAACAAAGTGGTGTACAATATGTTCATTATTTACATAGTAGTAAAATTTGGATAAGTTGATTTTTGAGGACTCCACAGGGCTCCCCCTCTTAGAGGTCCGGAGGACCATCAGTACTGCCCTCGTGGACGATTACATGAATATAAGCAACATAAATAAGGGATAATGTCAACAATATGGATAACAAAAAATAACAACAACAATAAGGATACAAAGTTAGATCAGGATGTATGGAATGCATCCGTGTCGTATAAAGTTTAGCACATACAAGCACATACAGGAATTTAAAAAAAAATCAAAACTTGTTATAATTTTAAATAAAAATTTATGTACATAATAAACCATGACATGTTCGTTAACATTTGTGAAATTCATATATAAATAGATATATACATATACTTGGTGAATGCGTGTGCTTGCAGTACAGTTGACGAACAGCAAATAATAATACTAATAAATATTAATGGTTATAATGAAGTGAATGTTAACAACAATAGTAATGAGAAGTATGTCTAAATGAGGTTAACGTTTATGTCAGTCAATGAAATGAACATAGCGGGCAGGTTTACAGATCTGCCGCCCACTGCGTGTCTGTACAGGGGGAAGAGTGAAGAGCGGGAGAGTTGGAGTTGCATTGACTTGCTGATTGTTTATTGGTGTCGGCGTTGCTAGTGTTTCATGTTCGCTGTCGGTGTACGCTGGTTTAAGACGGTCGATAGAAACAGTCTCCGGTTTACCATGTTTGTTCAGCGTGAAGTATTTTTCGGTGCGTTTAAGTACTAGAAAAGGACCTTCATATGGATGTTGTAGACCTTTTCTAATGGCATCGACGCGAACAAATACAAATTTGCTAGTGAGTAGGTTCTTATTTACTTGAGCTTTCTGAAGTGATTGGCGAGGGGCTACTGGTCTAAGCTGAAGCATATGCTGGGTAAGGCGGTTGGTGAAGTCGGAGATATTTACTTCAGTTGAATCATTAGACGGAACTAACTGACCAGGCAATGTGAGGGTAGTACCATACACAAGTTGAGCTGGTGTACATCCCAAATCTTCTTTTACAGTTGATCGGATACTGAGAAGAACTAATGGTAGGTGTTCACTCCACTTAGATGA